CTGGCTATGCAAATCCCAATGCTCTGGTTAATTTTGTATGCGCTGACAACAATTTAATTTCCAAAAGCCATAAAAATGAAATAAAATTTTCAATTGTAGCTGTTGGGCGTGGATTCGCCCTTGGTTTTTGGTGTGTTCTCTTTTTTTTTTAGATTTTTGCTGGATCTGTGTGGGGTGGCTCTGATTTGGATGTGGGATGTGCGGTTCTGGTGGCTGCACTTGGCAGTGAGCAAAGTGACGCCGTCGACGCTGCCAATGACACTGTAATCGCAACCCTCGGCTCATCTTTCTCCTTTCTCCTCCACCCACCACCACCCACCACCCTCCGCCTTCGTCCTTCGTCCTTGGCATCCTGTTGACGCCTGCGACCGCCTGACTGGCTCAGCTTCCTCTGCTCGGCTGCCTTTTTGACTGCCGCTTCTATTCCACTTGCACGGCCATGTGTACTCGCTTTTTTGACTATTCATCGACCCCACTTTCACCCCACCACCCACTCTACTTTTGGCGGTGCGGTGGTGCAACCCTCTCGGGCATAAATCACAGTGACAAACTCGTCGCATGCAAAGGCGCGGAAAGCGAAGCGTGCCTTGTCACGGTGGAGTGGGTGGTTTGGGTGGTGTGGGTGGTGCGGGTGGTGCTGGTGGCGTCGCGGAAACGGAGGTGGCTCACTTGGGTGGCTACAGTGTCCTTGAGGTTATTGGAAAAATTTACAGATTTTTTCAAGCAATTATAAAAACACCATATTAAGTGCTATAATTTCTAGGTAGAACACTTAGCAGGAGGACTTCCTTTCAAAGAATTTTATATAAATAAAAACTGCAAAGAAAAGGGAGATCATAATTTAATAAATAAAACAATTTTAGGTATTCAAAAAAATTTTTAGGTTTGTAGGATTTCCTTTAAGTATAAAGATACAACAAAAATTTACAAAGAAACCACAAATGAAAACTTTGATTAAAGATTAGTTATTAAAATAATACGTTCCTTTTTTAGAATAATTGAATAGATTGTAGGATTTCCATTTAAGTAATCAAATAATCAAAAACTCCTAAGTCAAAAAGAATTGAATAAATGAGTAAAAGCTTTTTTAAGAATAAATAAATGGATCGTTGATTAGTTGGATCCTTTTTTTAATTACTTAATTTTGTATAAGTTGATTACTTTTGAATTCTTCCAATAGGAATATTAGTATTATTTTTAAACATTGTAAAAATAACTTTTCATTCATTTCAATGAAAATTCATATTTTGAATTTGCAATTGGAAAAAATCGCATATTTTAACATACTTAAAAGTCACAGAAATGCTTTGCACAAACACTACTAAAACATTCCTTCTTTTTTTATGTTATACTATAGTATGATAAATAAAAATCAAATGTATCTATGATTTTTAGTGTTCTGTACCGTAATCCAGAATTTACAGATATGTTTTTATTTTAATTTAAAATATTTCTCTCAATTTTCCTGGCTTTTAAGGCACAGTACTCAGAGCTGGCGCATTTTAAAATTTTCCAATGAAAGTGGCTTGGCTTTGTCACCATGTCTTTGTCACCCAACCAAGGGAACCAATCCGAAACCAAGATTTCAGCGAATCCAAATGCAATAAGGATGGCATAAACAAATTAGGATTGATTTTAGCACAGGAGAGAGGACGAAATGGAATATAGAGATGGGTGGCTGGGCAATCAAAGGCTTAGGCACGGTCACTAATAAATTCTCGGAACGTGCCCGGCACTCCAAAGTTGTAATCCCAATCCGAATCCCCCAAAGAACGGAAGGGGACTTGTCGCCGAATCCCGAGTTCCGAGTTACGAGTTCCGAATCCCGGTCTTCTATTGACAGACAATCAACATCAACCACTTGAGCGACGGCAAACAGAAGGGAAAAATCAAAGCTGAACCGCAAGATATCACAGATTTTCATTATGAAGCATTTAAGCCAGTCCAAAATCCACCCACCACCCACCGGTCGTCCCGGGGGTTGACTTTTCCACTTCCTTTTTTTTTCTGCCGGCTTCAGTTTCCTTTACGGTTTTTGGTTTTCGGCTTCGGCAAATTAAATTAGATGCTTAATATGCAGCGAACGTTTCATTTGTTTTGCGGCTAGAAAATCAACGTGGAAAATTAGGCAAACAAAGTCCGGACGGAATCCACATGGCCGAAGGCGGCGGAAAACCACGGAGCCGGGAGCTTAGCCTCTAATGAGGCGCATTACTTTCGGCCAGAGATTTGAAATCATTATCCCATCGAAACTAATCCGGCCCATGGACCCCGGCATTTGTTAATTTTGTGCAAACATCCGAAACCGGGACCGAGGCCAAGGCCCAATACACCCCCTCTGAACTCCTGATCCCCGGGATGGGCAAATATTGGAGCAGTGGTCACGAGGATATAGGCACTGATTGCTCCGAAATGATTTGGTTTGGGCTTTGGGTAGGAAACAGGTCTCGATATGATTGGGATGGCCAAGAAAGGAGCTGCGAAATAGAATTCATTTGTAAAGTTTTACCAAAATGAGTCAACAATAACATATTACATTTATAGTCTAGTGTAATCCTCCAAGAAATCACATTCGTTTTGGGAATACAACGTAATGCATTGGAAGTTTAAATATAATTTTAAAATTCCTTATGTAGACAGAAACAAATTTAATACCTCCTTGCTCATCCCAAGTTATTCTTTGTCCTCCTTTGGGGGACTTGAAAGCTTTATCATAATGTTCGCCGAACTCACGGTACTAAATAAAGATACAGAATAAGTAATTAATTAGAGTTTTGTAATAAAATAACTACCCACTTGCCAGCAAACTTAAAAAGCATGCACAAATAGGTAAGATTATCCAATTTATTTGTAGATACGGATGTGCTCCTTCTTGATCTCAGTTATAATATCCTCTCCTTTCGGCTCTGGGAACTTCACATAAGTTCACTTATGTAGTTGTAATCCAATCTTGTAAATAAAAGTACAAATGATTCCTTTGTAAACACCACTTGAAAGCAGAAGAATTCCAAGAATTGTAGGACCACCACTCGGCCAACTATTCGGTATTAAAATACTATTATGCGTTGCCAACTGTCAAGGTATTATCCCGATTCTTATATATTCCGATTTCTGGTCTCATTTTAGTGATGGATTTATGTTACTTACATTTTTTAACAGTGATGGCGTAACTTATTTTTAAGGCAAGCAATTTTGATTTTAATTTTTTCCAAATTCCCGAAAATGATAATGATGATGATGGAAACGATTCCAAGAAAACTATCATTTCGATCGCTTTCATTTGGTTGCTACTTATTAAAAAAGAAAATATCATTTCGCTGAACAATTTTTATATTAATTTTGGATTTCTTAAAAATAAAATAAATTCGTTGCCTAAAAAAACGTTTTTCCCAAAACTCGCCTTTTTTATTTTTAATCTCGAAAATATTTTAATCTTTTACTTGAACACGCAAAACTGATTTTGAATAAAATTTTTCTTTCATATATTACCTCTTAATTATTACAGTTGAATTTGTCATATCTTCATGGTCTTTATTTCTGTAAGTCATTTTAAATTCAAATCGTTAATTTATATATTGAGGGGATAGAATAGTTCAGCAAAAGACGTAAGCTTTTTAATTCCGTGACTTCGGGTTAATCATGATAATCGATATTTGTAAGGGAGCGGTAATCGGTGCTTCCCCCCAATTATTACGTAATGCCAATCACCTCCTAGCCTCTCCTCCCTAACTCTTTCTTTCTTTTCTGGCACTGGCCTCGTCAAGAGGTCCAGATTTGCAATAAAATAAATTTAATTAAAATGGTAAAGAAAACAGAAAAAAAAGAGAAAATAATTTTGTGGTGAAAAGTTTAAACAAAGAATTAAATAACAAAGGTCCTAAAAGAGGATATATTCGGATTACGTTAAATGGAAATTTGAAGAACGTCAAAAAGCGCGTGTTAAACTTACACATACATACACAAATTCCTAGAACTAATAAAAAATCAGTGCAAATTAAAATTTACACAATAAAATTTAAAATTTCGAAGTTCTTTTTAACCGTTTCGGCAAATAGGAAAGGAGAATCGTAAAATATCACCCAAAGCCCGTGCGCATGCGTATAAGTTTTTCCTTGCCATTTTTCATTAGCCAAGTTAACGTGCATGTAGAAATTTCTGGAACTTTAAGGAAGCAAGTGTTAGTGCAAATGTACACATACAAATGCACATCCAAATTGCATAAAACGGATTGCTTTTTTAGTTTTACGCACTGCAATCAACCATTTACAAGTGCTTTTAAACTATTTCGGTAAATATTTTGTGTCCAATAGCAAATCGTAGAATTCCAACCAATCACGCGCGCATGCGTATAAATTTTTTCCTGCGAATTTTGACATGGAAATTTCTAGAACGTCAAAAAAGCGCGTGGCAAACTTACACATACACACACAAATTCCTAGAACTAATAAAAAATAAGTGCAAATTAAAATGAACACAATAAAATTTAAAATTTTCCAACTATTTTTTGCCGTTTCGGCAAATAGGAAAGGAGAATCGAAAAATTTCAACCAAAGCACGCGCGCATGCGTATTAGTTTTTCTCTGCCATTTTTCATTAGCCAAGTTAACGTGCATGTAGAAATTTCTGGAACTTTAAGGAAGCAAGTGTTAGTGCAAATCTACACATACAAGTGCACATCCCATTTCTCGGAATTGCATAAAACGTATTGATTTTTAATTTTATGCAGTGCAATCAACCCCATTTACAAGTGCTTTTAAACTATTTCGGTAAATATTTTGTGTTAAATAACAAATCGCAAGATAAATCGTAGAATTTCAACCAGTCACGGTGCGCATGCGTGTAAGTTTTTTTCTGCGAATTTTGACACCGAAATTTCTAGAACGTCAAAAAAGCGCGTGGTAATCTTACACATACACACGCACAATAAAATACCAAAGCTAAATAAAAAAAACAGTGCTAGTTTAAATTTACACGTTTAAATAAAATATTTATGAATGCTTTTATACCGTTTCAGCAAATATTGCCAAAAACATATCCCAAGGAAAACTAGCAATTTAACCGAAGCACTTGCGCATGCGCATATGTTTTTGCCTGTCATTTTTCATCTGTCAATTGGATGCCGAAATTACTGGAACCTTGTGAGTGTTAGTTTAATTTTAACAAAACATCAAGCTTTAAAAAAGTAAACATATAAAAAAGAGTGCTAAACTAAATATCCCCATTCAAATTATTTTTAGTGTTTTTAATTTATTTCGGCGAATGTTTAGCAGCTAATAACGAATGGCGAGAAAAAGTGTAAGATTTCAACGAAGCACGTAAGCAAGCAAATAAGGTTATGTCGGCCATTTTGTATTAGTCAAATCAAAATGTCAAAGAGCAAGTGGTCGTTTACATTTTCACATACAAATGAACATCGAAATCACTAAAAATACAAAAAACGGAGTGCTATTTTAGCAATTTAAAAAATTTCGTCAAATATTTTGTGACTAAATAAGAAATTGCAAGCAAGGACAAGCGCATGCGAATGAGGTTATGTGGGATTTTTCTTCAGTCATCCGTCAAAATGCGAATGAGGTTAAGTGCGATATTTCATTAGTCAAGTGTACATAGAAAGTTCTAGTACGTCAGAAAAGCGCGTGGCAGGCTTACACATACACAGACACAATAAAATACTCAAAGCTAAATAATAAAAAAAAAGTGCTAGTTTAAATTTACACATTTAAATAAAATATTTCTGAATGCTTTTATACCGTTTCAGCAAATATTACCAACAAACTATTACAAGAAAATCTTAGCATTACAACCAAAGCACTTGCGCATGCGCATATGTTTTTACCCGTCATTTTTCATCTGTCAATTGGACGCCGAAATTACTGGAACCTTGAGAATGTGAGTGTGAGTTTAATTTTAACAAAACATCAAGCTTTAAAAAAGAAAGAATATTAAAAAAAGAGTGCTAAACTAAATATCCCCATTCAAACTATTTTTAGTGTTTTTAAATTATTTCGGCGAATGTTTAGCAGCTAATAACGAATGGAGAGAAAAAGTGTAAGATTTCAACGAAGCACGTAAGCAAGCAAATAAGGTTATGTCGGCCATTTTGTATTAGTAAAATCAAAATGTCAAAAAGCAAGTGGTCGTTTACATTTTCACATACAAATGAAGATCGAAATCACTAAAAATACAAAAAACGGAGTGCTATTTTAAATATACACATTTAAATTAACAAGTGCTTTTTAACAATTTCGGCAAATATTTTGTAATTAAATAAGAAATTGCAAGCAAGGACAAGCGCATGCGAATGAGGTTATGTTCGAGTTTTCATCAGTCATTCGTAAAAATGCGAATGAGGTTATGTGCGATTCGCATTTTCATCTGACTGTTGAAAAATCACACATGAGTGTAGACATCAACATTTCTTAAAGCGCGTATCAAACTTACACATAAACAGCCACATTTAAATATTTAAAATTAAATAAAAAGCAGTTCTAACTTAGGTTGACACATTTAAATAAAAAATTCATAGTGCTTTTATACCGTTTCAGCAAATCACAAGGAAAACTTTATGCCATTTTTCATCTGTCAATTGAACACAGAAATTACTGGATCTTCAACGAAGAGTGTGAGTATGCGATTGAGGTTATGTCTGCCTTTTTTCATCAGTCAGATTACACATACAAGTGCACATAGAACTTACTAAAACTACATAAAACGGAGTGCCATTTAAAATTTTGCACATTGAAATTAACAATTAACAAGTGCTTTTAAACTATTTCACTAAATATTTTGTGACTTATATAGAAATTCAAGCAAGCTCGTGCACATGCGAATGAGGTTATGTGTGAAAGTTCTAGAATGTCAAAAAAGCGCGTGTCATACAAATGCAAAACAAAGTTCCTATTACTAAAAAAAAAAGTTTTTTAAACAATTTAGGCAAATATTTTGTGACAAATAACGAATCGCAGGGGAAAGCGCAGAACTTCAACCGAGCTCGTGCGCGCATGCGCGCAATCTTTTCCCTGCGATTTATCATCAGTCAGAATTTTGATTGATTACATTTGCCGAAATATTCCGCCCAGCAATATTTTTCCATATGTATAGCCCCAAATGGAGTCTCATGCCTCTTGTTTCCATTTTCCAGACCACAAATTGAAATTGACCCTAGACACGCGGTCCAACCAAGAATTGCGACGACGATGGCGGCCGGCGACTGGAACTCAAAATCGAAATCCAAATCAGTTTCTGAATCTGGAAACCCAGTCTGGATGGACCCAAGATGCCATGGGGATGGGACATTTGTATGCAAATGTGTACAGTGATTGCTCTCCGCCGAAACCAAAAGCAAAAGCAAAACCACAGGCAAGACGGTAGGAGCGACCACAATGAGCATAAATTACACGACCCGAAGGAGGAGCCACCACCAGACGGTGAGTACTTTTTCGGGGGCCCCCAAGGGGAGGGGTCTCAAAATTGATCATTTCTTGCTGGGATGTGGATGTGGATGTGGCTACGGATGATGAAGAGCTGGCTAGCTGGATAGCTGGCGCCATTGGAGTGCGGCGTTGCCACTTGAATTTTTGATTTAACAAATGCTCATTTGTAAAACGGCCCGGCGAGCTGGTCTCCTCATCCCCATACCCATCCCCATCTTGGCAAAATTCAAATGGGCCACAGCCAAGGCGCAGACCAACAACAAATGGTCCAAAGTCTCAGATCAGAGCCAAACTTCTGCTCAACTGCCTGGCAACAATAATAATGTCACGTTTATCGTGTGCAGCTAATTACTAACAAAAAGATAGTTTGTAATCCTACACAACTGGGGGGAATGGCGAATGGCGAACGGAGAACGGAGAACTTGGCCAGAAGAGTTAGCCAAGCGTGGCCGAAAGTGCCTCCAGGAGAGCAGGGCAGGAGGAGGGATTTGGGGATGGAACAACAGACACCGACTACCGGTAGCCTGTATTCGGTATTCTGTATTCCGTATTCTGTATTTTTGGGGAAGCAAACTTTACTAGCAAAGCACAAGCACAGGCAATCCAAGCCAGCCGTCGAAACTTGGCCAAAACATGTGCTGCAATCTTGGGACCAGAGTTTTCTGGGCATTAGCACACGCCTGCCTGAATGTCTTGGCCGCAAAACCAAGAGCCAGCCAAAAATTCCAAGCGGAAAAGCCAACACACCCCGAGCAACGAACAGCTGCTCAACTTTTCAGCAGCTCTGGGGGATCAACATCTTATAAAGCTTTTGTAAACAGTATATGTATTTGTATAAATATAGTACAATATGATTTATATAATATGGGGCGTGGCTTATACACTCGCACACCATAAATTACAAAGTCAATCGTCGGTTAGTAAAAAATCAATCAAAACGGTCTGAAAAACTGCTCAAAAACCTTTCTTATTTTTCGCTTATCTAATTTTTCATAAATCGTTTCTTTAATTAATTAATTTATATTTTTTTTGTTTTGTACCCCAACTAGTTGCCTTGGCTAAATGAAGCAAAGCCAGCTTTGAGCAAAAATTTTAACATTTTTTGTGCAGTTTTTTTTAACAATGTGAATAGCACTCTTCAATTATTCCAATATCACGGAAGTTTCTTAGATATACACCGTTTTTATAGCCTATTTGCATATGTTTAATTGACACGACGCCTCACAGACGAACAAAACCGAAAATCATAAGATAACATCATATAAAGTCAACTTTCTTGGGTTTCGTACATATCATTTCGATGTTTAAGTCAAAGCGTTAAGATTTTATAATAACAAAATCATTTAACATGCTATTTCAGACCAACGTTTTAAATAATTAAAAACAAATATTTTTTTTTCATTTTAAAAACTGTAAGAACCAAATCAAATACACTTTGAAAAATATCCAAGAAAGTCCTGTTTATCATATCATATCTTATAACAATATTTCACCAAATTAAAGATATTTTGTTGGTTAACCAGCACAAAATATACTGCTTCTGATGAACATGGAACACAAAAACCAGTCTTAGTTTATAAATTTTGGAGTTTTTTTTTAGGATCAAATGCTCATTTAAAAGTTATCTTGTTGGCTAAGAGACCAGTTCTTGTGCCTCATATACATTAGAAAAAGTATATCTGATAGCTTTTCCCTTTGGTTGCTATAAACCATTTGCCTATCTCATATTCGCTCGATTTCCTATCGTACTAAATCGAATAATATCGCTTTGCTTGAGACTCTCGAGTTGAACTAGAAATGAACGAAGTGCCTCTTAGCTTGGCACAGCCAGATGGCAGATGATGTTGCTCAGGAGCCCAGCTCCTCCACTTCCTACAATCCATGCCCGTCCGTTGGCGTTCCAGTGCCCTTCACCATTGTCAAACCGCCGCCGAAGGACAGGAGATCCGCCTGGTCTGGCTTGTCGCGCGTGGCGTGGTAGGCTTCGCGTTCCCGATCCGGGAACTTGGTGGGCAGATTGGGCGAATGCAGATTGACCTTGGCCTCAAACCGCACACCGGCCACCTCCACCTCATAGTGGCCGGACAGCACGTACTCATTGGTCACCGCCAGCTCGCGTCCCTCGTCGTCGAAGTTGCGCACAAAGCCGAGGCAGACCTGCTTCTCGAACGTGTACCCATAGCCGGTGGTGGTGGTCATGCCCACGTAGACTCCATCGCGATAGATGGGCTCGCCGCCCCAGCACCACATGTCCACCTCGTGGTCGTGGTCGTTCAGCAGCAGCTGCACATACATCCGCTTGACGCCCTCCTCGCGCTGCTTCAGCAACGCATTGCGACCAATGAAGTCGATGGGTTTCTGTAAAGGCATTGTTCGATATTCATTTTTGGTCTTGCAGGACTGTTCTCGGCTTAACCCACATTCAACTTGACGCGCCAACTGCGTCCGCACTCTAGCGGCGTGGTGAAGGTGTCCAGATCCTGGCCCCAAAAGGCATAGAACTTCTCGATGCGCAGGGCACGGGTGGCGTAGTAACCTAAAATGGGCAACCCATGGTATTACAAAAATTAAGAAAATCTGTTTGCAACTCACCGGCATGCTGTATGTTGAACTTTTGGCCTGCTTGGTAGAGTCGCGAGTACACGTGCAGGGCGTATTCGTTGGGAATATAGAGGACGTAGCCCAGTTCACCCGTGTGGGTAATGTTCAGCACTCGGATGCCGTCGGCCAAGCCCACATCCAGTTCCTGGAAGAGATTTGGCCATTTGTTATCAATATTATCAACCAGTTATTTTACAAAAGGGTGGGGTTTCAAAAGAGTAATACCCAAGAATGAAAACATATTCTTTGAACAATCAGGCTACATTTTCACAGACTTCCGTTGGGAGTAATCACCTTGTAGGTGAAGAAGGGGAAGCTCTTGGGCGTGAGATCGGTGTCGGTAAGCTCGGAGAGCAGGATGCGCGAATAGGGTCCCAGGATGCAGATGGCCGTGTACATGGAGGTAACGTCCGCCACGTTCACCTTGGGCCTCAGGTGATCGGGCATATGTTTGCGTATCCAGCACATGGAGCGCGTTTGCTGAATGGTGGGGGCAATCATCATGTAGCTGAATAATTAAAAACCTTTAATAATTGACCATAAGTAGGAAAATGAGAGTTCTACATACTGTCGCTCGGAGAGTCGGGCCAAGGAGCAGTCGTTCTCGTAACCGCCATTGTGGTTCTGCATGCCCGTGTGAATAATTGAGCCGACGGCCACGTCCACGTCGTTGGAGCAGAGGTACTGCAGCAGGTCCACCACCTCGTTTCCCTTCGACCAGAAATCGTACTTGGTGAAGGAGCTGTAGTCGGCGATTCCAATGCGCTCCCTGCAGGCCCGATACTCGGAGGATACGTGGTCGAACCACGGCGGCTTGCCGAAGGTCCGCGTTTGGGCAATCCGGAAGCGCGGGAGACCAAATTCATCTGGAATACATTGAAAAATCGGAAATAATTATTAATTTAATGAACTATTTTGGTAACCGCAGTCTTTGTTTACATGTAATATAAATATATACTATGTGCGGGAACTTATCTATAATGTTAAACGATATTTCGTATATACGTACACTGATTTTACAATCGGTTCCGTACAAACTGTTTAAATTATTCAGTTTTACGGTTCCAATTATTAGGTCATTGCTAGCATATGAACTCAGTAACATATTGTTATATTATGTTAAGTGCCAAAAATATTTAAAGTGAACCTATCAATAATTTATTAGTTCGAACCACGGTATATGCATGTTTCGAAAATGTATAATCGCGATTCGAACTACTGAATTTTTGCAAACTGACAGCAACAAGTTCTACGGTCATTTTATTAATGATGTTTCAAACGTATTTTCCAATCATTTTAAAGTCCGTTACGTACTATATGCTCGTTTCAGAAAGGCAATACTGCGTCTCGGACTTTCGAATTATTGGTAACGATCGACCAGTTCTTTTAATTAAAACAATATTTAATTCGTATGTTTCAGTGATTTTATAGTACGAACCAATTTCTATCTAGTTTTTTATAAAAGTGATTATAGATCATGTGTATGTGCAATGTATGTGTTATGTGCAATTATTATATTTCATACTAATGTTTATGCTCTTTAAAACAAGTTTGTATAATTTCAACAGTGAAGTGATCTATTATTTAAACATCAGTGCGAAATCAATCATGTCTTAGAAAAGGAAGTGATTAGATTGTTTCTAATACATCAATCTTCTCATTTTGTTTTCTGAAACAAGGTGGTATATTCCCAACAATTATCAAAATCCAGTTAAACAGTCATTCATGTCTTACAGGACATTTTCTTTAGAATGTTTTTTTAGATCATGCTTTGGATTATGTTCTGTAGAACAAGTTTGTACAATTTCTGCAATGATGTGCTCTATGATTTAAACATTCGTACGAATTAAATCATGTCTTAGAAAATGAAGTCATCAGATTGTCAGTAATACATCAATCTTTTGATTTTGTTTTCTGAAACAAGGTTATATTTTCCCAACAATTATCCAAATCCAGTCTTACCGTCACTCATGTCTTAGAGGCCATTTTCCGCTGAACGTTTTTATGGTTCGTTCAACGGATTATGCTCTGTAAAACAAGTTTGTACAATTTCTGCAACGACGTGATGTATTGAAACTTAAGTGCGAGATGTTTTATCGATAATTTATACCTATGTTCCAGTTATTTAATAATGCTAATCATTCTATGTAATTTTATAAATTATAAAATGATTTGCATTATTATATTAATGGTTACATATTGCTATCAAGTAGTGTTAAAAAGTTTTGAAGTAAACTTATTAAGTTTCCAATAATTCAAAAGTGTGACTCGCACCATGTGCTCGTTTGTTTGTAACGATCAACTTATTTGAGATAATGGAGATTTTTTAATTAAATTGATATTTTATACCTACGTTCCAGTGATTTTATAATGCGAGTCATTTAATGTAGTTTTAATAATTCATTATATGATTCGTATTATTAGATCAATGTTAACATATTGTCGTCCTAAGTTGTGTGCCAAAAAGTATTACGTTCAACTCAACAATTGTTAAATGTTTTGAGCCGTTCCAAAAATGCTAAGGTGCGTTTCGGATTGTAAAATAAGCGTTACAGTATACTTTCATTAATATATTTTTTGTTCTTTTATATCTTACAAATCGTTGCTTCCGGGAACTATTCATGTTTGCAGGTCCTGTATACCAAATCTATCCTACTAATTCTACGAAAAAATCACTGTTGCTTTGCACCCAATGTCCAGGGATAATTATTTGCTTATATATATAATATCTCTGGATCTTGCGGAACAAATCATGATTGAATTCCTGCTGTAGCAAATCAGCTAAAAGAAACAATAATGAAAAACCTGCAAAAAATCAACAATCATGTTTTGAAAATTATTTTTCTCATATTTTTTTTTTTAATAATATGGGACTTATGCTTTAGCACTTGTGTATAAATTAACCTCGTGAATTCAATCGCCATTAAATTCCTTTTGTAAAAAAAGCCAAAGTACATAAAAAAACTAAAGAGAAAAAACAGTCATGTTTTGAGTATCATTTATCTTAAATTTCTTTTAAAACAATTTTTGATTTATGCTACTTAAATCACGATTGCATAACCATCTCCGCGTACAATTACTTAATCATTAATGTTTTGAGAGTCATTGTTAAACAATTTGTATTTAATCAAAATTCTTTGGCAGTGCCTCTCAGAGCACGACTGAATATTTTCTGATTTCAAATGTTAATATAAAAGTGATTATAGATCATGTGTATGTGCAATGTATGTGTTATGTGCAATTATTATATTTCATACTAATGTTTATGCTCTTTAAAACAAGTTTGTATAATTTCAACAGTGAAGTGATCTATTATTTAAACATCAGTGCGAAATCAATCATGTCTTAGAAAAGGAAGTGATTAGATTGTTTCTAATACATCAATCTTCTCATTTTGTTTTCTGAAACAAGGTGGTATATTCCCAACAATTATCAAAATCCAGTTTAACCGTCATTCATGTCTTACAGGACATTTTCTTAAGAATGTTTTTTTAGATCATACTTGGGATTATGTTCTGTAAAACAAGTTTGTACAATTTCTGCAACGACGTGATGTATTGAAACTTAAGTGCGAGATGTTGTATCGATAATTTATACCTATGTTCCAGTTATTTAATAATGCTAATCATTCTATGTAATTTTATAAATTATAAAATGATTTGCATTATTATATTAATGGTTACATATTGCTATCAAGTAGTGTTAAAAAGTTTTGAAGTAAACTTATTAAGTTTCCAATAATTCAAAAGTGTGACTCGCATCATGTGCTCGTTTCAAAAACGCAACCGTGCCTAATAATCGGTTTCGTACAAACTGTTTCAATTATTCAGTTTTACGGTTCCAATTATTAGGTCATTGCTAGCATATGACCTCAGTAACATATTGTTATATTATGTTAAGTGCCAAAAATATTTAAAGTGAACCTATCAATAATTTATTAGTTCGAACCACGGTATATGCATGTTTTGAAAATGTATAATCGCGATTCGAACTACTGAATTTTTGCAAACAGACAGCAACAAGTTCTACGGTTATTTTATTAATGATGTTTCAAACGTATTTTCCAATCATTTTAAAGTCCGTTACGTACTATATGCTCGTTTCAGAAAGGCAATACTGCGTTTCGGACTTTCGAATTATTGGTGACGATCAACGTGTTCTTTTGATTACAAAAGTGATTTAATTCGTATGTTTCAGTGATTTTATAGTACGAACCATTTCTATGTAGTTTTTAAAATTCATAACATAGTTCGTATTATTAGATCAAAGTTAACATATAGCTATTAAGATGTGTGTTCAAAATTTTAAAGTCAACATATTTAGTTTCCAATAATTTAGAAGTCTGATTCGCACTACTTGCTTGTTTTAAAAACGCAGTAGTGCGTTTCAGACTTTCAATTTATTGGTAACGATCAACATATTTGAGAGCGTGGAAATCATTTACTTAAAAGAATATTTTTAACCTATTTTCCAGTGATTTTATAATGCGAACCGTTTCTATGTGATTCATAGGATGGTTCGTATTATTAAATTAAGGGTAACATATCCTAAGTTGTGATCCAACAAGTTTTAGAGCCATCTTAATATCGATGTTTCAAACGTATTTTTGAATAATTTAATATCCCGATCCGTACTTAGTTCTCGTTTGAAAATGTTCAAGTGTGTAAAACGATAATTTATATCTATGTTCCAGTGATTTAATAATGCGAGTCATTATAATGTAGTTTTAATAATTCATTATATGGCTCGTGTTATTAAGTCAATGTTACAAGTGTCAACTCAACCGATCATTAAATAGTTTAAGACGTACTACATTAATTAAAAATGCAACTTTTGTGTTAACAACTTCATACCCACCCTGCTTGTCCTGTTGATCGAAGTAGTTGGGTCGCTCGTAGCCCATCGACTGGCCAAATACGGCGCCCGCCTCCTTAAGCTGTGGATAAATGGGCGACATGCGCAGGTTCCTGCCGGTCAGGAACTCCTCGAAGGGGTAGTTGATCTCGAAGTGCTTGCCGGGTGCCTCCTTGCAGCGATCCCGCAGGAACTTTCGGTTGTTGTGCAGTCCCAGAAACCGACTGATGTCCAGGATGTGCAGGTCGAGGTAAGTGGAGCCTTTGGTTATCAGATCGGTGAGCACGCGACCAATGCCTCCGGATGCGGACACACCCATGGTCTTGTTGCCAGCGGCCACATAGTAATTCTGTATTTCTGGTGCTTCTCCTAGGATCCATTTGCAGTCGGGCGAGAAAACCTGCAGGGAGTTCGTGAGTCTATCCAGCGTGGCATCTCTGAAGGAGGGAACCCTCAGCAACAGGGCGTCTAGCAGCTCGTGGAAGTGGTCCCAATCCGGCGGATGCTGGCGGGCTGTCTGCGACAGGGGTATCACCCCATCCTCGTAGACCATCTTGGCCTCGCGTTCAAAGCCGCCGGCGAGGATGTGTCCCTCGCATTCCCGAAAGAAGATGCGTCCATCGAAGTCCCTAACGAAAGGGGTGTCCGGACTGAGGCCCTCGATGGGTTTCGTGTGCAGATAGTGGTGCTCCACCGCCTTGAGGGGCACCTTCACCACCGGTTTGGACAGGGTGCCCACCTCGCGTGCCCAGAAGCCCGTGCAGTTGACAAAGTACTCGCACTCCACATCGCCAGCCGTGGTCTCCACACCCCTCACCTTGCCGTGCTCGCTGTGGATCTTCTTGATGGCGCAGTGCTCGACAATCCGGACACCCAGTCGCTGGGCCTCGGTCATGTAGGCCTGACACACCAGCTGCGGGTCACACACCCCGTCCTCGGGTATCCACAGGCCACCTTCAATCCCGTCGAGGGACAGGAGCTCGCAGTGCTGGGCACATTGCTCCGGTGAGAGAATTTCGCAACGCATGCCCCAAGCCAGAGCCTGGGATTTCATTCGATTGAAGGCTGTCATACGGTCCCAGCTCCGGGCTAGATTGAGGCTGCCCACTGGCCGCCATCCGGTGGGCAGGCCGCTTTCTGCCAGCCGCTTAATCAGATCAATCGAGTACTCGGCCAGCTTCAGTTCCGTGTAGCTGGGCTCGAAGCGCCCCGCTAATCCACAGGCGGTCCACGGCAGCTCACCACTTACGCGATCCTGCTCCACGAGCAGGGTCTCGCCGCCCCACCCACTCAGACCCAGGTGATAGGCCACCGAGGCGCCGGTAATGCCACCCCCGCAGATGACGACCCGGGATTTGGTGGGCAGTTGGCCGGCCAGCTCCTCGCTGAGGTCCGCCGCCTGTTGCGGCTTGAATTTCCTCTTGCGCAGCACCTGCTCATCCGCCGGGTCCGCCTGCCCGCTAGCCAGACGCACTGCATCCGGAAAACCAGGCGAGCACCGCCTGGGAAGTCCAGAAACTGCATTCCCAGAGCGCTGAAGCAGTTTCCACATCTTGTCCACCACAAACGATACGTGCGTATATATCACAACCACCTCATGGAACACACCTAATCCTCTGCAGCTCCACAGAAATCGGGTTATATTCTATATAGCGATTGGTATTACCAATTTGGTAAATCGGTCTTCGAACAATAATATTGACGACAATCGATATCGGAAAATGCAGTTTGCCCGACGCCTATCGTCAATCGATATTGGACGACCATTCGGCAGACAGCTGTTGCTTAGCAGATGGGACACAAACCGATAACATATGGGTAAGCAATATCGAAAATCAGCGGAGACACAAACCGAAAACATATGGGCAAGCAATATCGAAAATCAGCGGAGACACAAACCTGGCGCCAAATTTAAATTAAATTCGATTCATGCCAAATTAACTAAAAGAAGAGCAATCATTTAGTTACTATAAATTACGTTATGATTGAACACATTCAGTGTTGTAAAATCTAAAGAAGTTCCAAACGTATCTTCCACCCATATTTTATACCTATGTTCCAGTGATTTAATAATGCTTACCATTTCTATGTGATTTTATAATTCATAAAATGTTTCGCGTTATTAAATTAAGGGTAACATATTGCTGTCTTAAGTTGTGTGCCAAAAAGTTATACACCAAACTTATAAACGACGTTTCAAAAACATTTGTGATAATGTTAGAGTGCGATCCATATTTAGTGCACGTTTTAAAAATGTTAAAGTGCTTAGAATGGTTTATCTATCATATTTATTTCCAAATCAGCTAAAAGATTCAATGAAAAACCTGCAAAAATGTTTTCATGTCATGTTTTGAAAATCATTTGTGTCGGATTTTTTTTTTTACAATACGACGCTTATGGTTTTCAAACCACGATTTGTATAAATTAACCTAGTGGAGTCAATCGTCATTGAATTCCTTTTGTACCAAATAAGCCAAAGGAAAAGCAATTTAAAAAACTAAAGAAAAAACAGTCATGTTTTGAGTATCATTTATCTTAAATTTTTATTTAAATAAATTTTTGATTTATGGTATTCGAATCACGATTGCATAACCACCTCTCCATACAATTACTAAATCTTTAATGTTTTAAGGGACATTGCTTAACAATTTGTATTTGATCAAAATTCTTTGGCAGTGCCTTTCAGAGCACGACTGAATATTTTCTGATTTCAAATGTTAATATAAAAGTGATTATAGATCATGTGTATGTGCAATGTATGTGTTATGTGCAATTATTATATTTCATACTAATGTTTATGCTCTTTTAAACAAGTTTGTATAATTTCAACAATTAAGTGATCTATTATTTAAGTATCAGTGCGAAATCAATCATGTCTTAGAAAAGGAAGTGATTAGATTGTTTCTAATACATCAATCTTCTCATTTTGTTTTCTGAAACAAGGTGGTATATTCCCAACAATTATCAAAATCCAGTTTAACCGTCATTCATGTCTTACAGGACATTTTCTTTAGAATGTTTTTTTAGATCATACTTGGGATTATGTTCTGTAAAACAAGTTTGTACAATTTCTGCAACGACGTGATGTATTGAAACTTAAGTGCGAGATGTTGTATCGATAATTTATACCTATGTTCCAGTTATTTAATAATGCTAATCATTCTATGTAATTTTATAAATTATAAAATGATTTGCATTATTATATTAATGGTTACATATTGCTATCAAGTAGTGTTAAAAAGTTTTGAAGTAAACTTATTAAGTTTCCAATAATTCAAAAGTGTGACTCGCACCATGTGCTCGTTTGTTTGTAACGATCAACTTATTTGAGATAATGGAGATCTTTTAATTAAATTGATATTTTATACCTACGTTCCAGTGATTTTATAATGCGAGTCATTTAATGTAGTTTTAATAATTCATTATATGATTCGTATTATTAGATCAATGTTAACATATTGTCGTCCTAAGTTGTGTGCCAAAAAGTATTACGTTCAACTCAACAATTGTTAAATATTTGGTGTCGTTCCAAAAATGCTAAGGTGCGTTTCGGATTGAAAAATAAGTGTTACAGTATACTTACATTAATATATTTTTTGTTTTTTTATAGCTCACTACCAAATCGTTGCTTTCGGGAACTATTCAAGTTTGCTGGTCTTCTGTACCAAATCTATCCTACTAATTCTACGAAAAAATCACTCTTGCTTTGCACCCAATGTCCAGGGATAATTATTTGCTTATATATATAATATCTCTGGACCTTGCGGAACAAATCATGATTGAATTGCTGCTGTACCACATCAGCTAAAAAAAACAATAATGAAAAACCTGCAAAAAATCAACAATCATGTTTTGAAAATTATTTGTTTCATATATTTTTTTTTAATAATATGGGACTTATGCTTAAGCACTTGTGTATAAATTAACCTCGTGAATTCAATTCAAACAAAGTACATAAAAAAACTAAAGAGAAAAAACAGTCATGTTTTGAGTATCATTTATCTTAAATTTTTTTTAAAACAATTTTTGATTTATGCTACTTAAATCACGATTGCATAACCATCTCCGCGTACAATTACTTAATCTTTAATGTTTTGAGGGGCATTGCTTAACAATTTGTATTTGATCAAAATTCTTTGGCAGTGCCTTTCAGAGCAAGACTGAATATTTTCTGCTAGTAAAAACTCGTGGTAATCCTTCCAAACAACAAATTAATTATAAAAATCTTTAATTACCTCTGTACAAATTAATTATTTTTAAAAAGTGTTATAAACTATTATAAAAAAGTGTTTTAAGTGTATAATTTTATGTTGTATTCATGTCTTACAGGCCATTTTCTGCTGAATGTTTTTTAGTTCATTCAACGGATTATGTTCTGTGATACAAGTTTGTACGATTTCTGCAAAGAAGTGTTATATTTTTTAAACTTTAGCGCGAAATCAATCGTGTCTTAGAAAAGGAAGTGATGAGATTGTTTTTAACAAGGTGATATATTTCCAACAATTATCAAAATCCAGTTTAACCGCCATTCATGTCTTACAGGACATTTTCTTTAGAATGTTTTTTTAGATCATACTAAGGATTATGCTCTGTAGAACAAGTTTGTGTTGTTTCTGCAATAAATGGATTTAATTTTGAAAAAGAAATGCGAAGTGAATTATTTAATAATTTGAAATAAGTAATGGACTAAGGAATCCAATCAGCAAAACCGCGCGAATGACACATAACCGTCTTTCATGTCTTACAGATCATTTTCTTTAGAATGCTTTTGTAGTTCATGCTGAGGATTATGATCTGTAGAACAAGTTGGCATTATTTCAGCGGTGAAGTGATCTATTATTTTAACATCAGTGCGAAATTAAAGATGTTTTAGAAAACGAAGTCATCAGATTGTTTTTAATACATCAATCCTCTCATTTTGTTTTCTGAGACAAGGTGATATATTTCCAACAATTATCAAAATCCAGTTTAACCGCCATACATGTCTTACAGGACATTTTCTTTAGAATGTTTTTTTAGATCATGCTTTGGATTATGTTCTGTAGAACAAGTTTGTCTTGTTTCTGCAATAAATGGATTTAATTTTGAAAAAGAAATGCGAAGTGAATTAATTAATAATTTGAAATAAGTAATGGACTAAGGAATCCAATCAGCAAAACCGCGCGAATGACACATAACCGTCTTTCATGCCTTACAGATCATTTTCTTTAGAATGCTTTTGTAGTTCATGCTGAGGATTATGATCTGTAGAACAAGTTGGCATTATTTCAGCGGTGAAGTGATCTATTATTTTAACATCAGTGCGAAATCAAAGATGTTTTAGAAAACGAAGTCATCAGAATGTTTTTAATACATCAATCTATTCATTTTGTTTTCTGAAACAAGGTGATATATTTCCAACAATTATCAAAATCCAGTTTAACCGCCATTCATGTCTTACAGGACATTTTCTTTAGAATGCTTTTTTAGATCATGCTTTGGATTATGTTCTGTAGAACAAGTTTGTGTTGTTTCTGCAATAAATGGATTTAATTTTGAAAAAGAAATGCGAAGTGAATTAATTAATAATTTGAAATAAGTAATGGACTAAGGAATCCAATCAGAAAAACCGCGCGAGTGACACATAACCGTCTTTCATGTCTTACAGATCATTTTCTTTAGAATGCTTTTGTAGTTCATGCTGAGGATTATGATCTGTAGAACAAGTTGGCATTATTTCAGCGGTGAAGTGATCTATTATTTTAACATCAGTGCGAAATCAAAGATGTTTTAGAAAACGAAGTCATCAGAATGTTTTTAATACATCAATCTATTCATTTTGTTTTCTGAAACAAGGTGATATATTTCCAACAATTATCAAAATCCAGTTTAACCGCCATTCATGTCTTACAGGACATTTTCTTTAGAATGTTTTTTTAGATCATACTAAGGATTATGCTCTGTAGAACAAGTTTGTGTTGTTTCTGCAATAAATGGATTTAATTTTGAAAAAGAAATGCGAAGTGAATTATTTAATAATTTGAAATAAGTAATGGACTAAGGAATCCAATCAGCAAAACCGCGCGAATGACACAACCGTCTTTCATGTCTTACAGATCATTTTCTTTAGAATGCTTTTGTAGTTCATGCTGAGGATTATGATCTGTAAAACAAGTTGGCATTATTTCAGCGGTGAAGTGATCTATTATTTTAACATCAGTGCGAAATTAAAGATGTTTTAGAAAACGAAGTCATCAGATTGTTTTTAATACATCAATCTATTCATTTTGTTTTCTGAAACAAGGTGGTATATTTTCAACAATTATCAAAATCCAGTTTAACCGCCATTCATGTCTTACAGGACATTTTCTTTAGAATGCTTTTTTAGATCATGCTTTGGATTATGTTCTGTAGAACAAGTTTGTGTTGTTTCTGCAATAAATGGATTTAATTTTGAAAAAGAAATGCGAAGTGAATTAATTAATAATTTGAAATAAGTAATGGACTAAGGAATCCAATCAGCAAAACCGCGCGAATGACACATAACCGTCTTTCATGTCTTACAGATCATTTTCTTTAGAATGCTTTTGTAGTTCATTCATCGGATTATGATTTCTGCAACGACTTGATTTATTGAAACTTAAGTGCGAAATCCATTATGTCTTAGAGGAGTTAGTTTCTAGATTGTTTTTAATACATCAATCTATTGATTATCTTTTCTCGAACAAGATGGTTTTTCTTCTACAGACTTACAAATTAAATAAGTAACATACTTCCAAATCCACCCAAGAAAAACACGAGTAGTTTTTCATTTGAAGATTTATTTCCAATAACCACCAAAACACCCAGAAACTTCTTAGTTATATCTTTTGTTTTTTACAATTCTGACGCAACCCGAAGAATTTTCGTATTGAGTTGTATTTAATGTTTATTAACTAGTATGCTTATGCTCTCTGCTCGTTCCATAAAATCATTCAGACCGAAATCATAGCAATCGAGAATCCAAATTCATCTAACCGTAGCTGTATATATTGGATATATAATGCATAGAGTGTGAGGCGCTGTTCTAACATTTAAGTTACATTTGGTATCGTTTCGTGTGAAAGTTCTCTACATCCTAACACTTCGTAGGATCCGTTTAAACTAAACTAATTTTTACAGGGGCCGAATTGTCGGATTCACATAACACATCTCTTGGGTATGCGGTGATATAAGACTAAAACTGAATCCATAAACTAATTGCCCTTATCGAGGGAGCTAAGTGCTGGCCACAAATAATGGCTTACAATAGCAAGTGTGGCTAAAAAGAAAAAAAACTGAAAACAAAGATCAAGCAAATGATGGGAGAATCTCTAGAATCACTTTGGAATAGAATTTATTGCAATTGAAGTTACGCGCAATCGGCAATTGTAATTATAATCATAATAAGGATAATAATGGTAATCATAATAGTTTAATATATAGTTTATAGTATATAATCATAAGTTCATACGCAGCATTTTTAATATAAGTTAATTTCATCGATCATCTCACCTCGCGACCTCTTTAAACTATTGATATAACATTATGTTCTCGTAGTCATGTTCACACAGAAGTCGCATTTTTCTGCTCACAAAAACATAATCAATAAATACGTAGATAGTAGATACAATTACGAATTATCTCGCTACTGGCTATCGCTATTCATAATCGTTATCTGGGGACTTGCTCTCACAGAAATACAAACTAGATCCATGTGGCCCCAAGTGTGAGGGTTACATCATCGTGCATATCCTGTAACAGTTTCGCTCTAGCGATTCTTCATGGACTACAACTTATTTAGATTTAAAAAAAAAAAGAACAAAAACAAACAAAATTGACACATTTTTCCAAATATAGACATCCTTGCAATTGGCGGGGTAAAGCGGTTTTTAAATTGACCTCTTATTTTTACTTTCTTTCAATGGGGAAATATTCATATTGATCGGATTGTTTAGGCAAAAGTTATGGATATATGAAAATACATAAATCTAAAACTAAAGGATGGTAAATTACCTCAAAAGATATACCTTAAGTATAAGAAAATTCGCAAGTCCTTGAAGCTTTTCCCCGGAAAAGTTTTTACCCACGCCAATATTATTTGGATTTTGGTGAGTGCTATCGTTTTTTGGGTCGGGGGTGTGCCAGAATTGAGGGCTTTTCGACTAAGAGGCTAGGCCTCTATCTAATGTATACATTATACTTGCGAGTAAATAAATTAATTGCGATTTCAGTTAGACGATGTTCATTTCACTTTCTTCTTTTTGTTTTTGGTTAACATTGGGATTGGCACATTATATTACATATCATACAAAGCTTCGCATTCGTTTTTCTCTCTTCGACCTTCAACTCGTGCCCTTGGAAAACAAAAACAGTGTTGGGTAAGGCGAAAGTATTGGGGATAAAAATAGTTGGGATTCGCTTTTCTTTGCTTTCGTGTAATAAAATGTAACCGCTTATCACATTCATAAAACTTGATCAATTCTCTAAATACATAGTCGTAGGCGTAGGTTAAATATAGTACATCATTTAGTACAGTTACCTTGTATGAGTTAACTAAATGTTTTCGTTTTGTTAATAGCACAGTGTAAACGCTTCTCCGTCTTCGATCTTTAGGGCACATATTCAAGTTTAAATTCAATTTAAAAAGGTAAGGGAAATTATATTTTGGTTTGGGGTTCTTTTTTCTTTGCCTTTTTCTCTATCATTTAATTTTCTAGGTTTTCGGTTTTCCACTTTAATTTTTTTTAATATAATCTTTTTTTTTTTTTGGTATTTTTGCAACAACTACAATACATGCAAAAAGCAACTTTCGAGTGCAACATAAACGGTCTTGACAGTTCAAACAGAAACTATCTGAAGTTCTTGTTTGTCTCTCTTACTGTGGTATAATATTCACTAGATCTATGTATTATTTCGTGTTTCTGTGTATATATGTATGTATATATTTTTTTTGGCTACTTTATCTGGTAGTAAAAATCGTAAAATCTTTATCTCGTTTTGGTTAAAAATTAAAAATTAGATCGGAACTAATACAGAGCGGAAAAAATTCACATTTCATGTAAAGTTAAACCAATTTGTTTTTGGTATTTTCAGCTCAAAAATAATTCATATTTTTGTGTGTTGTGTGTGTAGTATCGGTGTGTACATATAACTGCCGGTAGGGGTGTTTCATTGTTTGAATTACACACTTAATACTTAGGTTTTTATAACACCGTCTTTATAAACTATTTGCATAGATTTTCTCATTTATGACTGTGAATGCTGTTTTCGGTTTTCATATATTTTTCGAGCAGTTAGGGGTTTGGATTTCCCCCCAAGTTTTGCAAAATAAATGCTTTTAGAAAAAAAATATGACGTTCTACAGGTTCTATATATCCCGAAATATATATATGTAGATCTGTTTGTTTGGGTGTTCGGTTAATTGTGGGCTCCTCGGATTGCTTTACTGGTTAATGGTTTTAGCTTACTGGTTAGTTAGTTGGCTAAGCTATTAGGTGGAGAATCGGAAACTCATGTAATTAGTTCACTTGAAACGTACGATTACTGGGGGCAGGGATGTTGGGTTCGTGTTATGTATACATATATGATTGTGTACAGTGCGTTTCACCGCTAAAACAACCACAAGGCAGTCCTTATAGCCCTGAAACGCACTGTATATGTGGTCTAAACTTATCGGTGTACCGTTGTTATTGTGTTGCTAGCACAAAATACCTTTAAAGATTTTTGGTATTCTTTTTTTTTTCTTAGGTTTTTCTTGTTTTTCAAAATAAATTACAATGGATTCGAGAGGGGAAAGTCCCCGTAAAATACACACATTCATGTGTGGCCTTCTCAATCAACTTTTTCTTCTTCATCGGAATCTTAAATAAATATAAAGCACAAAGTGTTGACTTCTCAGTTTTTGAATTCTAGTTAGTTGACAAGTGTGTAAGCTTATGCTTCCTGCATAAAACATATACGTAAATATTTTTAAGTAAAGTTAATACCTTATAGATGTGGGCGAGTGTATGTGTGTTTGAGTTCTGGGATGATGAGTGTAGTGTGTGTAAATTCAGTATATAAAGAAGTATATATGTTAGCATCTTCATCTTGATCAGCACATTGTTTCTTGGTTTGCTCTAGTGTTTTTTTTTAGTGTAATTTTTTGGTATCGCGGTGCTCTTCCTCTGTTTTGACCCTTGACCTGGGGGTCTTAGGCATAAAACTCCGTCTTTCCTTGCGTCTTATAGGCCTCCTCCTCGATTTTGTACATGTCCATAAGCTTTATTTTTTGAAGCGGCAGTTGGTTTTTGGATGACAGACGGCAGCGTGTGAGACAGCAAATACAAAACATTTCGCAAAGTAAACAAATTGTGTGGTTTTTGTGGTTTAAATGGCACAGAAAGAGACAGAGCATGGGCATGTGTACGTGTGTTGGAAAGAGAGAGGGAGAGAGAGAGAAAGAGAGAGCAAGAGAAAAAATATAGAATTTTGTTTAGTTTTTCTCGGTTATTTTTTTTTTAGCATTTTTGGTTTTTAGGGCGACACAGCAAACGATAAATGACAAGGCATTAGGGGGCGTGGTAGGTTGGGTTTTTAGACAGAGACAGTTTTAGGGAGTGAAAGAGAGAGAGAGAGAGAGAGATATTTATATCCATAAAGTAGTTCGATAGTACAGCTGCGAGCTTGGGATCTGGGGAGTTATGGGATTCAAGCCAAGAATTTATAACATAACACACATATATAGACAGAAAAGGGGACAGTCTGACACAGAGGGTTAAAGGACAATGTGAGTTCAACACAGAGCACACAATAAATCATTTAATAAGCACATAAAAGCATTTTAAAGCGGAACATGTAAAGCCAACTAAGAAATTAAATGAATATCAATGTGAAAACTATTCCAAGTGGAATGTATTTGGCCGTAAAAAATATATGGAAAATTCCACTTATAAGGAAGAATATAAGAGCACTTTAAAGAATGTAATTTAAAAGATAAGTAAGAATTATATTTGTAAGTACTTCCTCTCTAGTAAGTTCTTTTTAAAAAACGCATTTATATTAATGGCACTTAAAAATATATATTTTAATTATTTTGCTGTTTTAAAATTATATTGTTTTTAAAAACTCTTAAGCCACAAGAAGTAATTTGAATGGAAATTTCACATTAAAGTTCAAACAGAAAAGCGCAAAGCAAAATGAAACGCGTTCTTCTATAAGATCGCAAAACATTGCTCCAAACCATCAAAACAAATCGAAAACCAGGAAAATTAGAGCACACGATGGAGCAACAAAATGAACAAGTACCAATAAATATATAATACATATATAGGAAATAGTAGATAATTACATCTTAGCAGTTAGTGTGAAAGATTAGCAGCTACTGACTGATCGATTACTTTTCAGGTTAGTACGGATGGGTACGGTTAGGTTGGGTTTTTGTTCGTGATCGGTTATTGTTTATCGGTTATCGGAAGATGCATCCCCAGGCGATACTCTCTCTCTCTCTCACTCGCTCACTCTCTCGATTGACAAGGGGTTACAGCAACTACGATCGTATCTGGGATGCATATCTTCATATTGGTTTCAGTTTCATTTTTTTCTGGTTTGTTTTTGTATCATTTTGCGTTTCAGTTATCGGTTTTATCGTTTATCGTTTACGGTTTATCGCTCTCTAGCTATACAGGTGTGGTTGTCTAAAGTACAGTCTCAATACTGGTTATAGTGTCGGTCTGCGGCCGAGTTTCGTTCAGTACCTTTTGCACGTCGGTACTGAATTCCTCGACCTGCTTCGAATGCGCCAGCTTCAGTTTCTCCATGGCGCGGCCCTGCTTAACGCCGATTTGCTGTACAAATTAGATATATGGATTAGGTTCGTTTGGGTATTATGAATTGTTACAGAACCCACCTTCTTCTCCTCCATGAAGCGCTTGACATTGTTCTGGCGCTTCTCACGCAACCGACGATCCTTCTCGTTCTTGGTCTTCAGGGTCTTGTCGTTCTGCACCTCCTTGGCGGTGTCCGCCGACATCTTTGCCTGCTTGGCATTTAGATCCTTGATGTCCCTGCAGGAATATAAAACAAGAGTGGGTTAGAAAGAAATTACAAATTACTATTGAAGCAACGCAAAAGAGATTGTTTTTTTAAGAGTTGAAGCAAGCACTTGTTTGTATGACGTTACGCATCTTGTTCCATGTATAAACCTTAGCTTAGTTTTGTGGTCTCTTGTATAGTGCTTGTACAGATAATCATATCACCTGGCATGGCGATCCTCCAGCTGCTTGATCTGCGCCGCCTGAACGGTGAGCATCAGTGCCTTCATGGCGTCCTGCGAGTCCTGGACATGCTGTCGCAGCATATCCCACTCCTCCTTGCGGTGACGGGCGATCATGTCGGTCCACTGCTTGGTCTGGTCATTGATCGAGTTCTTGATGTTGGCATCGTTGCGAATGTCGTCTTTGCTCTTGCCCTTGATCAGCTTGTCGATGGCCGCATTCTGGGTCTTCTGCACCGAGGTGCGCTCCTTGGCGTGCTTCTTGCGCAGCGTGTCCAGTTCCTTGATCTGCTTCTTGCCCACCTTCTGGAAGCCCTTCTCCTGCCGCAGCGATTCCAGCGTGACCGGCTCAAAGACCAGCGGTGGCTCCTTTTTCTCCTCCTCCTTGGCCTTGCCAGCATCTCGGGCGGCACCGCCGCTCTGCTCCTCAATGCCCAAGGCCTTCATCTGTTCATTTTGCTGCTTGGCGGCTCCGGCAAATCCTCGTGGATCCGACAACATGGCCATGAAGTCCTCAAAGCCATCAGGTACATAGATCTTTAGCTCGATATTCACAAACAACATGGGCAACGACATGGGGAAGTTGGCCTCCGTGCGCAGGGACACATGGCGATAGCCAGCCTGCAGGCCGTCCAGCGGCAGGATACGCTGTCCCAGGATCTTTCCGCTCTCCTCATAGACGCCAAATCGCAGCACAGCCAAGTCGGGCAGCACCACTTTGCGGAATACGAAGGCATCTTCATTGTAGACCGGATTTAGACCATTGTTGGCCACCAGACGGGTGCGAAACTCCTTCTTCACCGTGTCCGAGGGCAGGCCAAACATGTCCACCTCCACGTAGGTGCCCACTTTCTTGTCCGACAAGAACTGGCCGGCTATCACCTTCACGGAACACTGGGCCGCAATCACACCGTCCACCGGCGCATCGGCAAACGGATCGAAATCCTTGTCGGCACGGCGCATAAAGTCGGGTTTCAGCAGATAGCCACAGCCGCCGTTGTACTCGAACTTGCCCTGGTTGAGCTGCATGGGCAGATCGGAGCTCTGGAAGTTGAGGGAGACCATCTGGCAGCCGGCGTTCCAGAACACCTGCGGCATGTAGTTCGAGGAGTCCGCCCGGGTGCCCTTCGGATAGATCCGCGACATCTGACGCTTGTTGTAATTGACGAAGTCGATGGAGCTCTGCTTCAGGTAGTTCATGCCCGCCGATTCCGCAAACGAGGACATGTTGTGGGCAATGTTTTTCTCTGTGGAGGAGGTGCAATCAAGGTAAGTATATCAGCAAATGAAAATATAATAAATAATAATCTAAGTACTCAAGTTATAATCCCGTTGAGAAATAATAGGGAACATGTTTAACTACCTTAACTCATTTTCCGTTTAAGGTTTAACTACCTTAACTCATTTTCTACATAACCCATCAATATTTTAACTATGGAATTACAAGCATTTCTTAGAAATATAGGATGGAACCTAAAGATCTCAAGCCCACACAAAGTATAATATAAATTTAAGTTCTTTGTCTATAATAAAATTAATAAAGAATATTATAGTTGGAATATAAATACAAATTAAATTACAAAGATAAGTAACTAAATGTTAATGATGTACAACATATCCCTACAATTTCATTTCCCTTTTTATTATAGCTCCTCTAACTCATTTTCTTAGTAGCTTATCAATATTTCAAGTGGTAACTATAGATAGTGGATGTCCCTGGCATCTATAACTTTATGTTCCATGGTTGGGTTTCGTATTGCTAACACCTCTAACATCATGTAAATAAATAACATAAATGTACAACCATAAAAGTTCAGATTAACCCATTTCCCATGAAATTTAAATATTATATTATAAACTAATAATGTGAACAGAGCTTTTAAACTGCAGGTGTGCTGGCAAAATGTAACTCCTTCAGTCCAACAATGGACCCTGGATAACCATAACTGCTCACTCTACGGGTTTCCCCCTTCGAAGGGAATCTAAAAATAGCCCAACAGCACAATGGGTCCCTTACCGATTGCCTTGTCGAAGCCCTGGAACTTGATGGGCTGCGCATAATTGACCATGGATGAGAGCCACGGGTGCACGTTTGTGGTGGAGCCACTGTAGTTGGCGGCGGCTGCCTCGGCCTCCGCTCCGCCACCCCCCTCGGCGGCTCCTTCGGCGGCGGCGGCTGCTTCCGGGGCGGGAGCGGGGGCGGCGGCTGCCTCCGGCGGCTTGCCCGCACTGGCGTCCTCCTCCGGATCGTCGTCCGTCTTCAGCTCGCCCTTGAGCCACAGCTCCAGCTCGACCTTCTCCACCTCCGGCTTCATTCGCTTGTTCTTGATGAGGATCTTGCGCTTCAGTTTGCACGGCGGCGGCAGCGGTAGACCCGGATCCAGCTGTAATAGTGGTGTATATTGTATATAGTATCTGGTTTGGATATGGGTTTGGAATGGGTGGACCTCGCCTACTTACCGGGTGATCTGAAAGCGGCTCTTTGAGCAACAGATCGCCGAAGAAGTCATCACAGTATTTGGCCAACTTGTATTGCTGGGCGCGATTGCAGTGGTTCTCGAAGGACAAGATCACCGGATACTCGGAGGACACAAAGGCGCAGTCCGCAATCGCCTGGATGCAGTCCTGGGGGATAAATTTAAAAATATATAATATTTGTAGAAAGATTAAATCTTTATAATATATGGAGTACAGAGATAAAATGTCTGGATATTGTAGTAATACATTGTATGGTCTTTGATCTAACTGAACTTAAATATAAGGAAACAATTTTCTTTGCTATGTTATAAATATTTAAAGAAAGTTAGACCTAAAGAATAGATTTATTCAATTAAATCACACCAAAAAGCTTTCAAGCTTTTTTAAAAAACATTATAGAAGAAATAAATAATTTGTAAATTCCTGTATCCAGTACAAACCTCTAACCCAAATCTAAAGTAGTTCATCTGTTTAACATGCTTATCCGAATATAGTTTTCAAACAATTCAGTCAACAAAAATTATTATTCCCTGAGCTATAATTAAGGCAAATTTGTATGTAATTTGTTTGCCACCCCAAAAGCTTCTGAACAATGCATCCATTTTCCCGGACGTACTGTATACATTAGATGCACGAAGCTGATTTGGGTTGACAATTAAGATTGCCGACATAACATGCACAAAGTTGAATGTTTCAATTAAAAGCTTATTTTACCAATTACGAACATTATCATTTAATATGTGCTGGGATTTCGTACGTTTCAACTGCATTAAAATTACTGATAATTCAGAAACTGAAATAATGTGGGTTACGAATTTCGCTCATTATGTGTGTAATAAAATTGAATTCAATGAACATAACAAGTGATTTAAATGATTTTCCTTTGTCAGAACCTAAATCAATTAAGGATACCATATAGTACCCACCTTGAAGAGGATTTCCGTGCAGTAGGCGTGGCCGTGGGTGACGATCGGCTCCTCATCCTCCCCCTTTCCGTTCCAGCAGTCCAGCTCCACACACCGACATCCTGCCAAAAGGGTCTGGCGGTACATCTCCACGGAACTCTTGCCGCCGATCTGACGACCGGATAGATAGGTGTTGTGGGAGCTGTTTATGTAGTAATGGGCCAGGGGCTGGTCCATCTCCATGTAGAAGTCCAGTCGGTCCAGGAACACCGGAGCATTCTCGTCGGACATCAGGTAGCGCTTGAAGCCATCCAGCGACAGTTGAACTAGGGTCAAAACATTTTAATTAACATATATAACCAGAGAATAATGAAATTGAGACCCCAAAAATGTTCCAGCCCCATGCTTCATAATAAAGTGTTCTATACTTTTGCAAAAGCATTTTAATTAATATACGTTTTCAGAGAATAATCACATTGAAACCCTAAAAATGTTCTACCATATGTGCTCCACAAAAAAGGTACTATACTTTTTGCAAAAAAATTTCCTTATAATATACACTTCCCGAGAATAATCACATTGGAACCCCAAAAATGTTCCAGCATATCTGCTTTTTATCAACATGTTCTATACTTTTTGCAAAAATATTTTTGTTAATATACATTTTCAGAGAATAATCACATTGAAACCCCAAAAAGGTTTCAGCATGTGTGCTTTAAAAAAAAATATACTACACTTTTTGCAAAAATATTTTAATTAATTAACTTTTTCAGAGAATAATCACATTGAAGCACCAAAAATGTTTCAGCACGTGTGTTCTTTATTAAAAAAAAAGTTTTATACTTTTTGTCAAAAGTTCATATCAAATTACAGAACTTTTCTAATTGGTCTATGGTTAGAGCAAAGTAAAGTTCATAACCATCATTATAAGCCAAACTTTCTAACTTAGAGTTTTAATTATTTTATTAAACGTATTAAAAACAAACAAGCTTTGGCTTTATAATAAGGTTTAACTAACATTTTAAGGAATTTCTTGGGTGATGGATTATTAGATATACTTAATTATATTTCTTGGGCGAGGGATTATTATATTTACATTTAATCTTTGGTATTTTTAAGACTCCTTACCATTTTTCTTTTTCTCCTCCTCTAACTCGTAATCGTTGATGATCTCAGTGCAGCGTTTCTCCTCATAGAGAGGATACAGGATCTCATTCATTCGAGGATCGCGCTGTTTGTCGTTCATGAACTGGATAAATTGCTCCAGACTGATAAAGTCCTGCTTGCCCTTGGTACTAAAAATGAAATAAGAAATAATTAGTGAGCAACATTTATCTATATGAACTGCAGAACTACGAAAAATGGATTTTTATATATTATATTATTTTTAATTAGGGATCCCCAACTTACATGGAGGTGAAGAGCTCCTCGATATCGTTGCGGGGACAGACCTTGTGGTAGAGGGCGTAGAACTTGTCGAAGGTGAACTGCTCCTTGGTCATCGTGGCGTTCTTGTCGTCCGGCAGACCGGCGTCCTTGATGCACGTGTACACCAGCTTCTCCGTTTTGCCGGAGGCGAAGGTCTTGGCCAGCGTTTTCACCGGAATTTTGCCGCTCTTCTCCACGCAGTAACTCAATCGCATCCAACTATTTTTGGGTTACAGAATGCCAACAGAGGGTCGGAATCAGTAATAATTGCACATTTTTCGCGGAATGAAACTGAGACGCTTTTGAGGGTGTTTGGGTAATGCAATTAAAACGAGAATAGCAAGGGCAAAACGTTGGCGTATAACAGATTTAACTAGAATGAAAATAATCCGACTTACCTGCAAATTGGATGGACCATTTAATTTGAATTTTACAACTACAGTTCATGTTTCTGGGGTTTACTAAGTAATGTGCATGTATTCTGCGTAATAAAACAAATATTAATCCCAATTAAAATTAAAATAGGCAAGCTAACCATATAATGTTACCAATAGTTTTGCCCCTGACCTTGTTCCCTATAAACTTAATTGAAAACCCACCTTCAAACTGAAAAGTGAACTCAAATTCAAATGAATATTTTCCATTAGCCAAAGGAAATTGCCATGAAATTGCCCAGAGAGACCATGTCAGAGGTCACTTTCCTTTAACGACTGTTTGGTGGGCTAAGCTGACCGGTAATCGAATTAAATATTGATTAGCAATCAAGTTCAGGCGATCCATTACGCAGATGATTAACGACCTGCACCCTGAACCCAATACGGAACTCATAACTAATTGAATCGAGGGCGCATCGCACTCGTGGCCAATTTGCATGGATCCGTGGGATACTTTGCACTTGCATCCTATATTTTCGGTTTCGGGTCAAGCAATTGCGAAACCCGTGTGCACCGAATGACGCATAAATAATGCAATCAGAAACAAATTGCAAACTAGGACAACTAATTTACAATACAAACATGCAACTGCTACCGTGCCACGCCCACTCACGTTCCTATAACCACTTCCGCCGCCCATTTGGCCAAGGTGTTGGCTCCGACGGTGGTTAACACGGTTGTTCGCTGAATGCACTTTGCAACTTTTTGCCACCCATCCGAAACACCACTAAAACATTTCGAGACTGGGAGAAAATATAACTGGGATTACTGATTTTGGTAAAATATAAAAAAATATGTTTTTTAAGGGTATTATAAGTAGTCGTTTAGTAAAAATAATTCTGAACCCATCAAGAATCGCTGAAAATCGAATTTAATATAAAGCCAATTCCCAAAAATTCCTAGGTCTTTTTATAAGATATCTATTTTTTAGGATATCTTTAATTTTGGTAATACTTGTAACTCAATAAATATAATTTATTTAAGATTTTAGATAGATTTATTTTAGAGTTTTGTATGATACCTTTAATTATGGTAATACTTTTAACTCAATAAGTATAATATATTTAAGATTTTAGAAATTTAATGGTATTATTTTATTTATACATATTGGTTCTTGGTTTATACCAATTTTTGTAATTGAGAACAAGTTGTTTTAAAAATAAATTAGTTTTATATAGACACCTTGTTTTATTTAAAGATAATCTTTTGAATGAAAAGCTTAATTTTTGTATTGTTTTATGAAGGTATTACATCCTACATTCATTATAAAATATATTATATCTCAGTGCACATTTACGGGTGTCTGATCCCGGATGCAACACACCCATTCCCCGTAAACACACCCATTTAGCCACCGAAAACACACTCGACTGGGCAGAGAGTTCACCGCAAGGCAACGCATATCCAATGAACCGCAGTTCAGTTGCCGCCTTTCATCTGGCCCATGGACATCGACCATCGACCATCCACCATCTACCATTCACCATCTACTATCCACCATCTAGTATCCTCCAACGACCATTGGCCATGGAATGCATTCGATTCACTTGTCTTTTGGCGGGGAATCGAGCAAACTTTTGGGCGGTTTAACCCAATTTCGGATGACGAGGCTGGAATTTTCATTGCAACGACCAATTCATTTAGAACACGCTTTCGAAATGGAAACGGAACATGAAAACCAATAAAACCAGCTTGAATATGGTGGAAATAAAAGTCTTTAAAGTCGATTATTAAAAGAGTCTTAAATTTCATCCACTGATGGATAGGAACTATGGATAAGGAACTATTATTTTTAGTTTAAAGATTATTATAGAGGCTGGACTTTTCATTACAGCGACCAATTCATTAAGAAATGGAACCGGAACATGAGAACTAAAATAATGAAAATAAAAGTCGATTATTAAAATAGTCATACACTTTATATATACCCCTGATTGAGTATAATAAGGAACTAGTATTTTTAGATTAAAGATTATTATAGAACCAAAAACTATGACACATCTTCCCTAAGTTTACGCCAGATTTTTCTGAAAGAGCAAGAAACCTAAATATTTATTTTCCCCATTGCCGGATGCGATGCAAGTTTGCTGTTTCTTGATATCGCATCCTGAATTTCTTTGTGAATAATGATTGCTTTTATTTTCGCTGCTTATGTTATGGCACTCATAATTTCCTTATTTTTCAAAATGTGCTCCGCATAAAGTATGAAGCCCTTTGACCAAGCACACAACACTCAACACACACACACACCACACCACACCGCACCCACTCCTGGAATTTTTCACGATGGCTTCGGTGGGAAAAGCCAACTGAATTTCCCGCCCTTCATTTCTCTTTTCTTTGCCCATTTTGTGTGTGGCACAGGAAATGCAAATAAAATGAATTTATTTTGTGCTAAAAGTGAAGCGAAGCCATGGAAGGCAGCGGAAAATCAACAACTATAGAATTGGGCGGAGTAGAAAGTCGGGTCCCTTGGCCAGGGATCGAATTGCAGCTGGGTTCCGGAGTTCTCGGAATTGCGTAATCAGCAATCAGGAAATTAATAACGACAGAAGACGAGTAATTGACCCGCAAAAGTCCACCATTTTGTGAAATGTGGGGGAAACAAGTTTAACGGATGGAATTTCAGGTTTTGTGCCATAGTAGCAAATGGGGTTCCCAATTAGTAATTTCTTGCATTTTGTCGAAACGAAATTAATTAGTGACTAACTAAAGGTTTGGAGAATGATGAGTTATTAATTAGTGCTTTATTTTACATTATAAACTTTACTTACCTATTTAGGGAATTTGCGTTCTTGGTTTATTTAAATTTCTAAACAAGCTCTTTTACTTATGACTGTATGACACTTGACGAAAAACTTTTGTTTATAATTTCCAACAAAATTTGCTCTAATCACTGCAACTTTTGAAACATGAAATTATTGTAGAAAGATTTAGTTATAAGTCCCATTTTCAGTTACAATATCTATATATCTGTATTATAAATCTATATCATAAGTAGATAATAAATCAAAATAAGTGGGACCATATATTATATATATTTTTATTTTTTTTGAAAATCCCATAAGAAGGTAATTAAATTTTGTAAATATATTATTTTTCTGAACAGCTGGTTAATAATTTTTTGCCTGTGTCATACAGCTATAGTCAAGTTAAGTATGTGATTAATGTGTTCAGTGTGACCGTACTTACTGCTTCATCAGGTTGACGCGCGGGCACACATTCGTGGCGCGATTGTTATGCGTGATGAGACGCAAGTTCTTCTGCCAGCTCTGTGCGAGTGAGACAGTTGTGCATACATATGCGTATAGAGAGAGAGAGTAGATAATCGTAAAGGACAAACGACATAAACAACAACAATAACGGGTGGCAGTAGTAGTAGTAGAAGAAAAAGAACAGCATGCAGAACAGAGAGAACGGAACAATCGATGCAATTATGTACACAGTGTAATCGAGTGAGGTGCAGCAAGTGGAATTAATGTGGCCAGGCGAAAGGACATGGGACATGGGACAAAGGACACAGGGTACAGGGTATAGGGTACAGGACAAAGGGAAGAACCGAGGCCGTTTGCCAAACCGTGAATAAGACAGAGCAAGTGCCAAGGGTACGGGGTGTGGTAAGTGGTAAGTGGTGAGGTAAGTAGTGAACACGCCCACTTACTGTTTCCGCAGACACATCATGGGGCAGATATTGTTCGCTTTGACATTATGGGTTATTTTTCGTATGCCATCTAGCCAGATCTAAAAGAACAGAGAGAGTCGATAGAAGGATTGTTTGGTTGCGGTGAGTGATTTCTGTTTCAGTGTATTTCCGCATTAAGGTGGACCTCTAATGCATAGCAAAATAAAAAACATTCAATTTAAAAATCCTTTTTACCATAAAATAAAACATTTTACCAACTTCAATAAATAAGTTTCAAGTTTTTATAAAAAAAAAGTTTGTAAGTTATTATTATATTAAATAAAATATCTTTATATTTTTCCCCAATAAAAAACAATTTTTTTCATATAGATGGACTACTTTGCGTATGAGTAATAATGGTAGTATATCAGTTTTGGTTCGTCTTCGAGATAGATTATTATAATTTAAAACATTTATTAATGAAAAAAAGATATAAAATCGGTGATAAGCATCGGTGATAACCACCATATTTTAAAAACCAATCTCTAATTTCTAAAATGCCCTAGAGGTTCACCTTAGAGTTTAAATATGTCTGTCAGATAAATGAAATGCAGGACTCATTCGCGATAGGGAAATGTAATTTACGATCTCGCCGCTGTCACTTCCGCTTCCGGTGTTTGTTTACCTCCACTAGATGACCTTGACTCACCTTGGCTGTTGCCGCATCTGGACAAATAACATGGTGATATGTTATATTGATATAGTCCGTGTTCGAGCAGATCGTCAGGGATCGCTTATCCAGTTCCGGTATATTGGTTCCATTCTTCTTCGTCACCTTATCGAGTATCTTTGGATCCTGCAGCAAAAGAGATACAAATAGTATTTATTAGCTCAGCGCATCTTCTATACATTCAAGGCAACACCCGCGCATTACGTATACGCCCCGTCGTCAGCGATTTGACTGCAATTTGGCGCATCTCGGCTGTATTCAGTAACTGAATCAGCATCGCACAACATTAATCTCCAGTCGCATCATTAATCAAGGCCTGCACAGAACATTTATCAACATTTGTGCAGCATTCGCGGAGCCAAACAAATATATTTTCATTCTATTTTCCCTTTGGGCCGTCAGCAACAATTAAATGCTGTGTACTTTCCACAACCTTGCCCTCCTGCCAGCCAGTCACTCAGCTGGCTAGCTTCAATTTTGGCCAGCATTTCAATTTAATTGCTGCCCAGTCCAATAAAATGCAATTACGCAACTTTCTGAACGCGAAAAAGCATGCTACAGTTATTTTCTTGCCCCAAAACGAGTCGCAAATATAATAGAAAACGTGGAAATAAACCTGACAAATTGAATAATAAGCCAAAAGTATATAACAAGGAATCGTGGAGAGAAGTGGGCACTTATCTAGTAGCTAGTTGCAAGTATTTTTATAAAGGACATCAAGCATAAGAAGCCAAAGTTCTTAACTGAAAACTCTCATATTTTTCTGCTATTCAAGAGTTTGTATACCCTGAGTTTCCGTATTTTATTTGATTATTTCATAACAAGCACCGTAACCTTACGTTTCGATCTTAAGCAGCTGATTTTCTCAGTTTTTCCTCCACTCAAAAGCTGCAATTGTTTGGGTGAAACCTGTTGTTTACCACCTTAAATGCTGTTTCAAAGTCTTCCACTTAAACGGTGAATTTCTTAAAGGAAATTGAATTATGCAGAGACCCCATTGAGGATTTTTCCTCACCTCCAAAACACACTCACTTACACACACACAGGCACAATAGCTCAATCAGTTCAAGTGCAATTTGTGAGGAAAGTCGGGGGAAGAAAGCAGCAGACTTTCGAGTGCTAAATAAGTCAGGCTTCCCCGATTTTATCCCCCAGTCGCTCCTTTGAACCAAATAAAGTGAAAGCAAATGTTATAAAAGTTTTGTTCCCTTATTCTTTATATTTCTTCGTTTTTCCCTTAATGTTTTTTGTGTTTTTTTGTTGTGCCACTCGCTTTGTTACGTTTGCAGAGCTTCGTGCATTATTGAAAAGCGCCAGCAAACTAAAAGCCAGGAAAAGTCGGGGGCAATAACGAAAAAAACTGCAACCAAGCTCAAATTTTTCGTTTTCAATATTTCTTTTCGGTTGTGTTACTCACTTCCACCAATCTTTCTTTTCTCCAGACATTTTTTCCTGCGGTTTTTCTCTGCCAAGCGGAGGAACTTTTAATGGTTCATTGTGCAAGGCTTTTCGGGAGGCACTCCGTCTCTTTCGGACCCAATATGCCCGTCTCTTTCGCGCCCTAAAGTCGCACACTTTCCCCGCTTTCTCCTTCGGCTCCAAATACCCCCGCTCCTTCATTCATTTGACTGTGTGTGTCGCTCACTGATTTAATATTGATGACCAAACATTTCAAGTGATGGCAGAGCACTAAACGCACACAAGCTCACTCACACACACCAAGCGCGCACACACGCACACAAATCACACACATACACAGGAAAAAAGGAAAAAATCTGTGTGTTCCAAAGTTCTACCTAAAAAAATTCTACCAAAAGTTCAAAACTAATTAACATTTCAATAATTTCAGAGAAAAATTACTTTGCCAGTGTGACCTTACTAACAAAATTTACTTTAATTCGAAAGGTCACACTGAAATTTATATTTATATATAATATTTACTTTTGAAATCATAAATATTTATTTATTCAAATGCAACATTTGTAAACTACATTGTGAGTCAAATTTTCTGAGTGTACAAAACACTCATACCCTGTCCACTTTTTTTCTGTTGAAAACTTTTTGCATTTTGTGTCTGTCGTTTTTACTCAGCTGGCGCTCACATTTTGCCCATCTCATTTGTGGTCAACATTTTTGGCACACACGCACACAACTGCGATCATTATGCGAATTTCTTGCAACTTCTGCTCTTTGGTGTTTATTTTGCATTTTAATTGAATTCGCCCGAGGACAAGGGAAGACCAGAATCAAAGGAACACAAAAGATGTTTAAGGGTTGAACTAGAAGAAGGGTTCAACTGAAAGAAAACTGGCCCAGAGGTTCCACGTCTAAGTTCTAAACAAATAAATGACAGATACTGTCAAAAAATTTAAAATACTTCAACAATAAGCTATAGAAATGGGGAAACAGCACCAAAAAGTAAGTTGTTGTTACAATTTTTCTTAATTTAATGCTTTCTAAAAGCAAATTTATATAATATACCCTTCCTTTATGTAATTTCTGTCCTTTCTGCCCTGTATTTTCCATAATTCCCTGTCAATGACGGACTTTTCTTTTCTATACCTTCCCTTTTGGGTCAGTTTCAGTTCCAATTTGTTTAGATATTTTTTTCTGCTGCATTCATTTTTTGGGCTGACTTAAGCCGCTTCCAGGGCAACCTGTTTCCGATTGAATGGAGCATTACCGGCGACCGCACCTGGATGCCACTTAGTAGTCCCTTTCGCCCCATTTCCCTTTTCCCCCTACTTATTTTCATTTTCCCTTTCCATTTCAGATTTTCCCTTAGATGCACCTGCAACCCACATGCAGAATAGTCAAAGGGTTTGCCCGGGGCTGAAAAGTGAAGCGAAGAGGAGGAGGATTCAGTGTTGAGAAAAGGACTGGGGAATCTCCAGTGTTGCTTACTGAAATTCACAAAAAGTATCTAAGATGTTCAATTACCCAAAAAAAATACAAATAAGTAAAGCCAACAAAAATAGTATATAGATTTAGATTTATTCCAACTATCTAACATATTTTATAAAAAACATTTTGTAACAACCCCAAAAAGTATAAAAATGTAATCTCAGAATAAAAATTTTTACTTGTGTAAGTTAAGGTTTACAATTAAGTGATAGGAACGAATTATATGATATGACTAAACATTAAAAAATATAATTGGGTAAATGACTAAGATAAGGACACCTCTAAAGATCCTGTGGAAATTCTTATAAGCCCCCTGAAAAAAACAACTGTGCAACACTGGTTTAGACCTCGGGCAATGCAGGATCTGATGGAATGGGAGTGGATATGGACATTTCTATGGGTATGGGCTATGGGCTTGCCAGTTGCCAGTTGGATGCACTCATCCGAGGCTCAGTTTCAGTTTCACTTTCAGCCTCTGTGGAAAAGTGTGTCAAAGGAGAGGGAAAAGGGAAAACCAGAGAGTGAAACTGGACGGCAAATCTAAATTAGTTCGAGTCCCGGGGCAGCACCTGCATCGGCCATAAATATATATATATAGAAGACCCTATATATATATGTATATATATTTATATATACAGGGGACCTCAGACAACATATAGATGGATTGGCCCAAATGGAGGTTCATTTCGGGCTGTTGCTGCTCGGTCATAAATTTCATTTAGGAGACGTCGACAGACAAACACTAATACATCACTCTATCAGTCCACCTCCCACACCTTCTATGTATATAAACCCCTTATATAGCATAGATATGTGTGCCATATGTTGGTTTGGCTGGGATAAATAAAGGGGTGGGGGGCGTGGCTGGTCGGTGACAATAAATCTAGCGCATGGAACAAATGCGTTTCGAGTCGAAGACGGCGACTTTGATCCACAAATGGCGCTGGCTGAAAACAATTGAGAGCAAAAGTGACATATTGACACATTAACCGACACACACACACACTCTCTCAGGCGACAGTTTTATGGCTTTGTGATAGTTCATCCTGCCAGCGAAAAAAAATAAAGGAAAGACCAACTGCACTTAGTCAAAACTTGGCATGAAAAGCGGGGAAAATATGGGGGGAAAATAGAAAAATGTGCAAAAGTAGGCAATGAAAGCTGTGAGAAAGGTGTCACAGACTAAAGCACACACACACAAAAAAGGATAATTCTTTCCTGTTACATCAGTTGCCAAGATAAAATAAAAACACTCTTGATCCTTAAACTAAAATAATCATTAAATTAAATTCCAGTCCACTTAATGTAATATAAATTTCGCATTCAAGTGTTAAGGAAAATATTTATTGTATGTTTTTTCACTGGCCATTCATTGTAATTTTTTATTGTCAGTAAATCGACTAATTGAACAGCGTCATAAAATAGATTAAAATATTTGTCTAAGGCCAACAATTTACAAAAAAAATCCCATTTCTGGCAATTTGAAATAAATCTGTGGAAAAAATATAATTTATTTGCAGGATATGGCAGCTATTTTAAATCCCTCGCCTGGTTTTCACAAAGCCTTTTAAATCTATTTCATTGTAAACAATAAATTTACCATTTTGGGGTTTGAAATGCTTTTGTTCCACCAACCATTGAAAAAAAGCTTGATTTATTGCGATTTTAAATATTGATGATAACACGGCGGGATATTCAATTTTCTGATAATTACAAAACAAATAGAAAGTCCCCTAACATAAATATGGGATATACATATATATGGAATTACTCACCTTTGGGGTTCCTCCCGCACGAATATCGCTCACTTGACAAAGCTCGATGACATCGCCATCCTGTCGAGAAAATATATTTATAATCAGATTAGAAAGCAAACATCAAATAAAATAAATATGTTTAATTATCAGTAATTTTCCATCCCTTAGCTATCTTTTTCTTAACTTAATTTTAAAATATTTTACTATTTTTGTATTACTATAAAAAACAAGTATATAAAAATGTCTTGAAAAAATATCTGTTTATTTATTGAGGGTAAGTATTTTAAGTAAATCTTGCAAAGTTTTTTATTTTTAATATTAGTTTTAAGTTTGAATATCATAATAAAATACAGAATGATAGATTGTTCTTATAAAACGTAAAGATGTTTCAAAAAGATAATTTAAATATGTTTAAAAAATGATAAAGATATTTTTAAAATCGCAGTTTGTAATACCTAGTTTTTAATAATACATTAGGTTTTCTTGATAACTTACCCGCCCCTCGCTTTTCCAGTAAAGGAAAAATCCGTATTCGTCGACCTTGAAGAGGGCATCGCGCTCAAAGTCGTTCTCCTTCGTCTCCTTTTCGTTCTCGAACCAGCGATCGAACACACAGCCCGTGGTCAATTCCGGCGGAACCGGAATGATCCAGTCGAACTCGTACTTCTTGGTCATTATTGCTCACTGGATGACGTTACGTTAGCCACTTCCGTTTCCGTTGCCGCTGCCGTTACTGTTTCCGTTGCCGTTGCCGCTGACGCTTCCGTTTCCGTTGCCGTGCACATGCGATATATATCTAGTCCAGATCTAGATCTGTCTCTCTCTCTAGCTTTCGCCCTTGCTCTCTTGATATAGGAATTAATTTCGGGACATATTGACCCAACGGATGCGTGTGTTTATATACAATTGCATTTATTGTAGATCACATGGTCCGTTTCCGTTTCCGGCTAATTTAACTTGACTCGGCTGCAATGGCTGCCCTTCTGCCACGACTTTCAAACGGCAGGTTCGCTTTTATCCAAAAAACCTTCGACTCAACTCAGCTGCAAATGGAAAAGAGAGATACAACCATTAGACATGACAGGCACAACGGGTTTCGGGTGGACCTGCAATAATAATTGTGCGGTTTGCCACACACAAAATGAAGACATGGACATGCTGCACTGGGAAAAATATTAGGATTCAACTCAAAGCACTATTTTCCGTTCAACTAATGTTAAAGGTGACCCAAAGGTGTACCTCTAGAGTCTATAACCAGAAAAAATGTAACTCAATTTTTAATTAATATTACATAAAGATTGTATTCCATTCTTGATAATATTTTAAGACATTTCCAAGTTAGCTCTTTCTAGGTTCTGATGGTTTGGTAAAAGGTGACCCCAACAAAATTTATTTTAGAGCCCATAGCTCTATAAGATTGCGGCTTGATTCTCTATAAAATAATCTGCCTTAAAATATATGTACTGTTTAATAACTTTCTAACCAATTTCCTTGAAAGTCAGGACGATTTTTCTCACAGTGGATAAACAGGAAATCAGGAGTGTGGCTTGATTGGTCATGTTACAATAGCAAATTCCACAAAATGCATTTGTTTTGCCCCCAATGTCCATCAAGGCTTAGCTTTTAGTATTCTAGTGCATCCTATAATTTCCAATTTCGATTTGTGGTCAAATGTCTACATGGAGTGTGTGCTTTTACATTAATTATACAAAGAATGCCATTCCAGACATCTAAGACTGAAGACAGCAATTAAGCTGCCCTTGAAAATTCAAAGGTTTTCCAGGCAACGGAAGTTAATTGAATTTTGAAATGGTTTTGAAATCAAATACTTATGAACTGTTAGTTGTTTTTAGGTAAGCTTGTATTAAATATATACGTTTTCAGTTTCCAACTAATTAAAGTAAACATGAAACACTTTTTTATAAATATATAAATAATTTAATTGCAAGCAGAATGTGCATAATCAACACGGATTTTGCCATAAAGTTTTTCTTCAGGGGGAACAGACAAAAAAAAACTTCGGAATTGAATTAGCATTCGCATTGAACTAATTTCACACCCACAAATCCGCTTGACAATTTGCAATCTGCATACACTTTATGAGCTCGACACAATTTCAAAAAACAAAACAAAAAATCCACTTTAAAGTTGAGCCTTTGACATGGCGAAACTTTACCCCAGATGGAGATTTATGCAAATTATTGAACTGGGACTCACAGGAGCAGTTATTAGTGGCACTTGTGATATTTTCACGGATAAGTTACGAACGTTACGGATCCGTCTGATAGCCGACAGACAACTGAACTAACATCGAATCGCTGCAGCCGGAAGCCAAGAAACATCTAAAAACTGAAACTAATGGAATTAGCGAGTGACGACATTGCCAGGGCCATGGCCACAGGTTCTTTTTCTCAGCGATTCGATTTAGTCGCACTTTGGGGACTTCGCGACAGAACCACCTACCCAACCACCCACCCACCTATCCATGCAACCTATGAAACAACACCCAGCAAAACCACCCACTGAAAAACCATGGCCATGGCCTCGTGCACCTGACTTTGATTCCAATTCGGGGACAAGACTCAAGTGGCTGGCATTTTCGCAGCTTGTTGCTGTACTTTACATTGTTGGCTTTTCAATTTGGCTACACGGAAAAAGCACGTTCTATCTCCTATTGACTAAAATAACTATAAATAACTATTAAGTGGGTTTTTTGCATTTTCCAAAAGCACGTTTTAATGCTTATCTGCAATGCTTAGAAGTTTTGTTCAGGGGTTTCGTCCTGTTTATTTATAATTGCCTTTTAATATGGTTCAAATAAATATGTAGAGCTAGAATTAGATTGGATTTTTTATTAAAAACATCTAAATGTAAGCCTATAATATATACCATTTTTATTACCAATTTTTAAATCGGATTTTTTGGTAACAAAACCAGCTATCTTAGAATTTTTCCGTGTGTATTTCGCACGCCGTCTTGGCTCCTTTTTATTTATTTTATTTTTTATTTATACATAGTCTGTGACAGACGCTCTTCACGGGTGTCGGAGTCCTTTGTGTGACATTTATGCGCCCGCCTTTCCGAAGAGCTCGTTTATATATGTATTTATATATATATATATAGAAAGCTGACTGATTACTCGGGGCCCCGTGATTTCTTCCGCTTTCCTTTTTTTTTTTCGACGGCGCTGTCGTGTTACACATGACTTCAAATTCAATGAGCTGCGAAATTTCGCTCATTGTTAAACTTGGAGAGCTCGTTAGCCAGACACACAAACACAAACAACCGCACGGCCAGGACTCTAAATGAAAAATAAAAAGCGTTAAAAGAAAATACTTTCACGCCCGTTTCACGAATGTTTAATGAATTTACGCTCTTTGCGCTTTTGAACTTTCGGGCTGCCGAATTAGCGAAGAAAGGAAGCGCCAAGGACGAAGGATCAACTGGAGGAAAGAGCTCGAGGACAAGCAAGGATGCGACCCTCAAATGCACTCCGCTTTAAAAATGATGGGAATAATACGTAACGTTTGAAAGTACCATAAATCAGCTGAAAAGTATGCAACAAGTCTGCTGAGATTCGTAGCCTTTTTCATTGCATACTTTTAGACACCTTTAAGAGCGATTCAAAAATTCCTAGAGATGTTTAAACTTTTTTTCTTCTAATACATATCTATTTTTTGAATTAACGTCTCGTTAACTACATTAATTATATTCACCTAAATCAACTTTCATATAACTTGCTTGAATATTTCAACCTGGTCAATCCCTTTAAGATTTCAATGGAATGCCTCTAATAAATGAGAAATTTAATCGTGCCCATTAAAGCGCCGGGTGCCAGGTTATAGGGCCATATTATAAAGCACCTCCTTCACTGGCTCAAACCACTCGAACCCAACACTTTCCGCGAAATCGAAGCACTTGAATTCATCTTTCACCGGCGACCATTAAATGCAGATACCAAAAGGGAAAACTTGAGCACGGAGAAAGTGGTGGGAAAAGGACGAAAAGAAAACAAGTGGAAAGAACAACACGAAGGGAAATCAAATCCTTCTTTTTTCACAGGGTGAGACAGAGAGCTCTCTAGTTTTTCCCTTTCCAGAAGTTTGGTGTAGGAGTGTATGACAATGGCCCTTTCGCATTTTTTTCCCTTTTCTCCTTTTTTTTTTGCCAAGTGCCACGCCTCAACACCTGCGCCCCCGGAAGCGAGAGGAAATTCGGCCAACAGTTCGAAGGTTCCCGTTGCCGACTTTCCGGGTTACAGAGTAAAAATAACTTGCATAAACTTTCTCTCAAAGGACACACACGTACGCGGAGAAGTGTGCTACAAATATGCTCATTACGTGCGCGCCAAGTGGCAGCCTCAACCCCAAAGGACAAACCACCCTCCGCCCACTTGCCCACCGCCCCCATTTCACCCACATAAAGCCCACCTCCCCCCCCTCGACACTCGTCCTTTACCAGCGACAATTGCTCAATTTATTATTGCATACTTTGCGGCCATAAAACTTGGCAGGCATCCTTGCCATCCTTTCGCGGCTTCTGTTGCATGTACTTATAGATATCTATGGGGAATATATATACAGGAATGGTATATAAATATAGATCTCGTACTTATATATAGGCGGGGTTACAGGTGTTCGGTTGTAATGGGCATTACTATCATCAATTTAGAGGTAGTTTTTTTTGTAGACCTTGCTTAGTGCTTAAAGCGGATATTACGGAACTAGGTTCGAAAAATTTGGATAACATTATCAGCATTAAGAACGTTGAATAAATAAAAGATACAAGTAGTCTCAAGGACCTTAATTCCAATATATAAGTAGTAAAGGTTAAAAAAAAGGGCTCAATATGTAAGTGGTAATGGTAAAAAAATGGGATTAAATAGGTATTACAATTTTAAACTTTTTAATTTATTGATAAAGTACCTTTTAACGACCCTCAAACTACAAGTGTCTTAATAGTTTGCCATATATAAAATGTATTCATTTTTTATGCAGAAAATGGAAACATTAAAATATTATTTTATTGTTTTCAAAATTATGCGTATTTGCCCAATGAGTTTTTTATGGTCTTCCCTATCTGTTTGTCGTATCTGCAATGTTTTAAATCTATTGTAGTTTTTATGAACATGTTGGGATTTTGTTGTAATGCCCCATAAAGTTGTAGATACTTTGCCATGGCTGGCTATACCTTGAATTGAAGTTTACTAGTCGTTGTCATTGCTATTGTTGCTCTTATTGTTATGGATGTAACAATTGTTGATACAGCTTTTATTGCTGCGTGCCATTTTTTTTTTCATTGCTCTATCTGAGTATCTGTAAACAATGTTGGAATTGCAGTTATTAAAATTTTCTTTGTCGACGGCAAGGTTGCTGCGATATTCAGACAGGGTTTTTACTGCATTTTATTGAAAAGCTTTTGATGTTGCTGCTGCAGTTTTGATTTTAAGCTGTAAAGTTTGGTCTAATTTGTATTTTCTATTGTTATCGGTTTGAATGAAAATTTATTTTGTATTTCTTTTGGGTCTTAAGATGTTATCAAATTTTATTTCCTATTTTTTGTTCCAATTTATTTTATTTTTCATTTTTTTTTTAGGAAGATGTTGTAAGCTATAAATGGCTATATCTTTGGTTTTAACAGTCCTATCGCTATGATTTTTCGGGCTAGTAATCTTTAACTATTTATGTTTTTGAGAAAAATAAGAATAGTATTTTTGCCGGGTTATATACATAATTTAATACCCCTTAACTCAATATGTTGCTTTATTTTTACCATTGTTGCTGCTGCCGGGCATTACACTTACCAAATTGAATTTGCCGGCCATACAATATTTGTGAAATTGGCATTTAAATATTTGATGAGACAAGCAAAGGGAAATGCGCAGCGAATCGCAGGTAGTAAAATATTTGAGTGTCTGTTTTTTTGTTTTATTTTTTTTTTGGGGTGCTAGCCAAAAGGGAGAAATAAGGCAACCGATACGAAGAGTGAACACTGATTGCACCAATGAAATATTGAGGAAGGGATGTGGGGTTCAGGGGTCACA